ATGGACAACCAATTATTATGTTCTTCCCACCTCTCCTGATCCTGGCTTTTCTCCATTGCCCATAGTTCTTTGTGTAGGATTGAAGACTCTTGGGATTTTCATAATATTTTGTACACAACTAGGAGTAAGGCCACTTTTTTGTGGAATAAAAATATATTTAAACTTTTAAATGATTGTAAAATGTTTATAATTCTATAATGTAAAAACATTATATGTAACTAAATAAAATATTAATATGCAAGTAAAATATAGTGATGTTCATAGCTCTATTTTTGAAGGTATTAGCTTAAAATAGCCACTTTTCTATTTTTGTTTTTTTGTATATAAAATCTCATCATTCTTCATACTTTCTGCTCTACTGCTACCTAATATGGAGAAACAATGACTACAGAACGTCTTAGTTATCAATGGAAAAGCAGGGGGAAGGATGTTAACAAGATAATGCTTCAAATATTTGGTCCCTATATCTTAAAAATGGGGAAAATACTAAAGTAGGCAAGGTATTAAAAGCACCACTAATTAGTATCTTTACTTAGCAAATGTTCAATATTACATTAACACATGCTGAAAGAGGTTGTAGAAACTGAAATAACTGTATGAAAATACCTTGTTCTATGAAAGTACCTAATCAGGAAATTATTATTTTCTCCTGAATTCTAACTCTTTTTATGAAATAACTTCAAAGGGCTGCGGAGGCTGTTCAGTGGGGTGGAAAGGTGGCTGTGTAAGCGTGAAGACCTGAGCGGGATCCCAAGCATCCACATACAAAATCGGGTGTAGCCACCTGTGCCCGTCGCCCCAGAGATGCATCGTACGGAGAAGACAGAAGGGTTGCCGAGGCTTGCTGCCAGACACAGGCTCACTGAATTCTTACCCTGACTCGAGATGATGAGCTGGAGATCAGTACAAGAGGACAGCAGAGTCTTCCTGTGTCCTCCACTACACATACACTTCCATCACACCTGTATATACCATACAAACACATGTGTATACACATACATAGGTGTACACACACACATGTATACACATACATACATGTACCTCGATTATTTTATAAAACATTAATGACACAACACAAAAGGCATCTGATCCCGTTATGTTTAAGCTTTACAGTACACTTTCCATTATTTTGATCTTAAAGCCCTGTACATAAAATGAGAATTGATATAACATCTATAGCATGCTACATTGTAGGGCAGAAAAAAGTTATACCTTTCCCAAGAACTGATAAATATACCTTACAGAAAGTTGAGGTTGTATGAAAAGTAACAAATATAGTCAAAATAATGTAATTTAACTACCAAATATTTAATTATTTTAAGGAATTTAATAGCATAATGGGAAAATATAATTATATAAGCATCCAGTTCCTTATGTGTTAATGAACTGACTGTAATATGCATTGTGATAGTTTTCTTAAATCACTCTTCTGGCAAAATGATAGCTGTTGAATTAATACTTAAAAGTCTGATATCAATTAAAAATATTTATCATATTACTCTCTGATTGAGAATTCGCATTTTCAGGATGTTGACAAAAACATTATATACTACTAAGGAACTATGAATTTGATATTGGTGGGATTAAATTAATGACACTAAAATTTAGCTCTAAAATTCAACATTCCTGGTAGAAGTACTTACAGATTTAATTTTCTTTGATAATATAGACTTCTGAATATACGACTCTTATATTAAACTCTAAAATGCTACTTTATATATCTGCAGATGAGGTCAAAGTGATTGTAATAACTTTATTTCTATGGAATAATGTCAAGCTCCATAAAATATTGCTGACTTAATAAAAGCCTTAAAAGAGAATTATCTTTGGTATGAATTAAACTGACAAAGTACTTTAAAAATATTAGAAGTCAATTTTTTCAGATACAATCATTCTAGTGTAGTATAAAAATATAAGAAGTATGTTAAAAACAAAGCACATTAAATTTCATAACTGGAGTCTGAACATAGTAAATTAATGATTTCATTTAAAGATTCTTTTTATTGTTCAGCTAATAGTTATGGGGCTCTTCCTAAACACAGCCTCCCAGTCAGAAGCATCAGATACAATAATAGGTATCATAAACTCTTCACTGGCTACAAACACTAATCATTTTCATTTTCCCAATTGTTTACCAATAGTCCCCAAAGTGTCCATTTTCCAGCAATTTTGATGGACGCCTGGCAAAATTTTATTCAACATGATTGTATTTCATACTTAACAAATGTAGACCATTTTGTGCACTTGTTTTCAGACTTGATCATAGTGCTGCTTTGACCCTGAGAATGTACAGATGTTTGCCTACTGTAGTTTTAAAAAATGTTTCTAAATTCCTTGAGAATTTTATACATGCATTTTGAACAAATTCACCCCTCTTCTTCCATATCTGTCCCTATCTCTCCAACTTCCTATCCTCTTCTTTTTTATGTTTTATCAGCCATCTACTCCAATCTGTTCTGTTCAAATACCTGAGGATGTGGCACCTTCTTTGAAGTGTAGTCAGCATCCAAGGAGCCATTAAAGTATAGCCATGTTCTTAATGGGGAGCCATTTGGAAACTATGAAAGTTACAAAATTTTATAGCAATAAAATTTTCACAGATTAAAAAGTAATTTTGAAGAGTAACCACTGACATGAATCACTTTTGGCAAAGATAAGTTTTTGTGAAAGGGTTTTTTTTTTATATGAAGATTGCAGTGGAATGCTATCTCTTTTATATTCCTAAAATGTAATATGTGCTCATATTCTAAGAACACTGTGATTTAGAAGATTTACAAAGTACTAATACATATTACCAATTCTTTTAAAAGTCCTATTAATTTTACAGTAATGATTTTACCTAAATCAACACAGAATTGTTTCCTTTCTTTGTATAAAATATTTTTCATTAATGTCAGAGGCATACGGGATTGATTTTATTCAATTATTATTTGCAGTGTCTTTAATTATCATGATAAACACTAAACTCGGAACAATGATGTGTTTAAGAACACCACCAATAAAAATATAATTAAAAGACCAACTAAAAACAATGAAATTGATAGTAATACAAGCAAGCAAGTTCAATACCATCTTAGAAAGTTTCTTTAGGCCATAAGAGTGACATTTGTTGTTAGAAAATGTTATATATATTTTTCTAATTGTACCATTCATCTAACAATGTAATGCAATTTTCTGATCCTTGAATGTTATTACCAACTATTAGGATATAAAGAAATGAAAGTTAGTAGTTAGATATTATAATAGAACTTGTAGTTATATTAGGTATGTTTTTAAGATTGAGTAGATATATTTTAGATAGACAGGTTATCTTCAAACCCTTCAGAGATCTACAGAATATGGCATTTAAAATGTTTTAATAACTTAGAAAATTTTTCTTTTTTGTTATGACTACGAGACATGTCGGCTCCTGGCAGTACCAATCTACTTCAGAGAAAATATGGGCATTGAAGAAACTGTATATGGAGTTAGCTTTCATTGTGGCAAAAGTTAGCCACTGGACAACAAAGTATCCTCGAATCAACAGGACAAAATGAACAGACAGGACATGAAACAAAGGACTACTGATTCTTGCCAAAACAAGTGTGGTTATGGCTTTATCAAAAGGCATCTTCAGAGGCCAGGACAATATGGCACCATACCTGAAGTGGCCTTTGCAATTCGGAAAAGGTACAGTGCCCTTTTCTTCGAAGGCAGCTGAACAGGCAGTGGGCCGATGGCCTCTGATGTGCAATGGAACAGCAGCTGAAACAGTTATTCTTGAAGAGTAACTAAGCTCACACCTCTCAATAGTAGACTGGCATTTGATAGAGGGATATGGAGAAGAATGGGATGCTGAGATGAAGCCATATATACACAGCCAAGAAGAATGGACAGCTGAATTAAAAAACCATCAACAATTTCCAGAATTTAAAATCCTGAATCATGACATGACACTAGTGGAATTCAGGTGTTTCTGGTTCTGGTACATGGACTACTCTCACTCAATGTGAGGTTGAACTGTTGACCTTGTGTACATCCTACTTCACAAATGAGTCTGTCAGATATGCTAAGCCTATAGGCTGAAGATGATGCCCCAGCACTGCGGAGAAACCTCAGGTGACTGTCCAGACAGCTGGCTGTTTCTGTCAACTCACAAATTTTTTGGAAGTCGCTTGCATGCACTTCCTGTTTTTATTTTTGTTAGCTAATATTATTTCCTTCTTGGGTCTCTGAGGGAGTTGAAGATTAGTTAGTTATAGTTGAAGGTTAGTTAGTTGAAGATTAATTAGGATACATTTTGGACTTACCAAAATAGGATAGATAATGAAATTATTTTCTCTGAATTTGTCAAATACAAATGGACTAGACATTGTTTAGGTATTTATTACTTGTATATATTGTATATAGTTATTGTACTTTTGTATATAGTTTTTCTTATATTAGTTATAAGCTTTTTCCTTTTTTTTCCTTTTTATTAAAATAGAAAAGGGGAAATATGGTGATATTTTATTTGTATTAAAATGTTACTTGTATGTTAATAAATAAAGTTGCCCGGGGGTCAGAGCTATTAGCAAGCCATAGGAAAGCAGGGCAGTGGTAGCTTACGCTTGTAATTCCAGCACTTGGTAGGCAGAGCTGGGTAAGTCTCTGTGTGTTCAGGGATACAGCCATTATTGGATACACATGCCTTTAATCTTAATACCAATCATGGAAAACCTGGAGGCCTATACAGACAGGCCGTGACGAGGCGGTCATGTGGTTGGGTTTACAACCAATGAGAAGGCAGGACAAGAACTCTATATAAAGACTTTAACACAGGGGTAGCTCTGGTTCGGAGAGGTAGGACCACCGCAGGAGGAAGGGTAAGGTTTTAGCTCTTAGCTCTGACCTCTTGGCTTTCTTCTTTGCATTGGTTCTGTGTTTATTATTTAATAAGAAGGTTGGATACATCTACAATTTGTGAGTCATTGGATAAAACAAACATGATTACTACTTAAATGTTGAAATCTTGCACTTACCAACCTCCACAACACTAGAGCAGTTGGGATCTGTGAAGCCGTCTGGACACTCACAGGAAAAGGAATCATCAGCCAATCCTGACAGACAGATGCCACCATTTTCACATGGATTGGGATTGCAAATGTCACCTGGGAAACAGAGAGTCAGAGTTTGACTTTTTATGTCTGCCCTGGCATTGGAACACACCAGTTCACTTGGTCTACTGGTTCACTTCTGAAGATCAGCAGTAGACTGGTTTCTCTAGTTAGTTTAATAAATCCCTTTACAACTCTACATGTTTTCCTAAGTATGTATTTTCCCATACTTAGAATCTGGAAATGGCATGTGTACTCACATCAGCATCAGGATGTTAATAGACTTGAAGGTACCAAGGGACTAAAACATTGCATTTCTATTTCTCTTTTACAACTCCCTCCACACAAATGCATTCAGGCCAATATACTTCTTGAACTGCCAAGTATTAAATATCTAGAGAGAAACTGCAACCAAGGAGTAAGGTGCACCAAAGCAAAGACATTCAGTATTGTGGCTTTATCTCTGGTATTGTGTGGCAGATGGAATTTTGTACTTTAAAAATGGATATAAGCGGCTAGGAAAATGGCCACCAATGTTGAATAGAGAATGGCAGTTGGTGAAGTTGTCACCTACCGTAGTAACTTGTAAGGCAGGAAGCACATGTGATAACATTTTGGATAGGAGTAATAAGGTTTCCACACAGACTGTTAAAGTGTCAGTTGGATCTTAATATCTGCACATGATAAGCTACTACAGGAAAGAGGCATGTCAAGCACAGAACCCTTCAACTGAAATTTAAAGAAATACAGAGGGACCAGGATTTGACTGGAAAAATGAAACTGCTGCTCAACTTTAACCTCTCAAACTAATATCTGGTCAAATTTAAAGCTTTGACAGAAATATATGACCCTATCATAAATATAAAGTCATGCATGTGCCTTAAGAGTCGTGAAAATATTTCAGAGATCTCATTTGGAGCATAAATGGGCCTCTCAGGAAATCAGCCATCAGGAAATCCTGAGAGGTGTCCCTGAGTTAGCTGGCATACCCAAAGTAGCACTCCTGATTCACTGTGAAAGGAATGATAGATAGCCTTTAGGTAAAACCCTGGGTGGAGGAGTATGAATTATTTTACTACAAAGAGGACTTGGGTTAGATTCATGACCACTTTAAAGGGGACTTTATAAGTTAAGATTTCACATGCAAGGCTAAAAAGAATGAGGAAGAGAAGGAGGAAGGAAAAGGGGGGGAGGAATAATCAAAAGAGGAGGAGGAAGATGATGGGGAGGAGGAATAATCAGCAGCATCTCTAGCATCATCTAGCCCACAGCTTTAACCCACTTCATTGCACTACTAATAAAACTGTGTATGAAGGAAGATGCCCTTAGTGTGAACACAGCTTCCCAGATGAAGAGTGATGAACAACACTGTCTTTTACCAAGTCCAAAGAGTATTTAGGGTGAACAGTCACCAAATACATTTTGCAGTGTCCATCATAATTTCATTTGTTTTCAGCACTATCCAATCCTCAGGCAGTATAAGTTGTTGCAATAATGTCCATAAAGACTGGGCAAGCTTAAGATACTTATATAGTCTTATTTGTATTGACAAAAAAAGAGCAGTGTCTGGGAGAGTTTTAGCAAGAGAGATATTCTAGAGGCTTGCATTTATATTCTTTCAAAAATCAAGAAAATCTCATTCTGACCTGCTTCTTTCTGACTGCTAAGTCCCTATGCAGTACACACACCCTGACTGCCTTCTTTCGTAGCACATAGTACACACAGTGCTGATGGCAATAGACAGATAGAATTAGAAGTATGAGAAGTTGGTAGTTTTGTTGCTTTGATTATCTAGTAATTTGGAGCCCAGCTGTTACTTAGCTGAACTTTGGTGTTGTTGTTTATCTTACTTATTTTTTTCTTATTTGTTTATGCCTTGTCTTGGCCAGGATTATAACTGCTGTGATACAATATCATGGAAAATATTGTGGAAGAAAGGGCTTACTAGACTTATATCTCCAAATCACTGCTCATCATCAAAGAAAGTCAGGACAGGAACTCAAACAGGGCAAGAGCTGATGCAGAGGCCGTAGAAGAGTGCTGCTTACTGAGTTGCTCTTCCTGTTTCCTTACAGAACCTAGGACCATCAGCCCAGGGATGGCACAACCCACAGAGGGCTGGACCTCTCCCACATTAACACTAATTAAGAAAATGCCACCATAATTTCTTCTTAAATTTAAGAAGAAATTATGGTGGCATTTTCTCAATTGAGACTCCCTCCTCTCTGATTACTCTAGCTTGTGTCAAGTTGTCATAAAAGTAGCCAGCACATGCCTATTAGGTTCTAATATAGTAAAGCTTGTAAACATTCCTTAGTTGTCATATACAATTACATGTATTTAATGAATAAAACACAATGGGATAACAACTTAATTAGAATGATGGTTACATACTCACATATTTATCAAACATAATTAGCATTTTTGTAAATATAATATATTTTGATATGTGTGCTTATACTTTTTCTGTTATTTTTGGATGTCCTGAATCTAGCCTGTGAACTTGAAATTTTCAGGCAAGTACTCTACTGTTTAATTACATTCTCAAACATAAGATCACAGAATACTGTTAAATTTCTCTCTACTTTGTATCTTAACTACAACATTAATATTTGTACAACATCATTTAAAGGGATAAAAATAACAAAAAATTACTATAACATACAACGACTCAAAATGACATTGTAACCAAACAGGTGTAGGTTTTGAAGTATAGCGAGAAATCTGTGTTGATATTTAGAGTTTACAGAAGTACAAATATGTAGTCAGTTTTAAAAGAAAGCATTTGGTTTTAAAGGTAATATTTGATCTGAAAAGTCTGTGGAACATCTCAAATGAATATGTCTGATAAATAAGGTGGGTATTGAATTGGAGGACTTTCCCTACACAATGAATTGTTAAATGTCAGTGAGGCATTAAAAGCAGAGATAGGACACGAGAGGGCAGATGAGAGATCCTCTAGATCATAAGTAAATATTCTGGCAGGTAAGGATTCTTTTGAAAAAAAATATAAGAAGTGTTAGAATCTAAAAGTTAGGTCCTATTCAGTATAAATGTGACAGGGTTCACAAGTCAAATTTAGTAGGTCAGTGTCTGCCAGAGATTAACAAAGGTCACCCAGTATTTGGTGGATAATCTGGGCAGAACCTAAAATTGTGGCCTTACATAAAGCACAAATAACAGAAAACAACCAAAAATAGGCATGAGGAGTTATTAGTGGTCCTGCTGTGAATCTCTTTTTGTCATACCTAATTATGATATTATATGAATAATGATATTCTCATTGTAGCTGTGTTGTCCAAGACAGTGATAGAAAAAGGAAGTCAAGAGTGTAATAAGTTCTGTCTTCTGAGGGGGGCCTCTATAGTAGAGCACTTGTCCAGCATTCAGAAGGCCCTGTACTCAGTACCTACAACCGGGAAAAGGAAAGAGTATACACACGTTTACTAAGAAATAATGACTTCAAGATGGCAGTTCCATGAGCACCACACTGCTCATTTCTGTATAGTGTCCTAAGTAGTTATTTTGCCTACAATTGAAAACATACGAAGGTAATGCCTATGGAGGATGGGAAAATGAAAAATCAAAGGCACAAAGATGCATGTCTTAGGCCCATGTGAAGAACTAGAGGGACTGAGGACAAAGAAGGCAGAGGTAGGAATAGACAGGAACAGCCACAGTGTAATCCAGGCTCAACGAAGTCTTCTGTAATATAGTAGGGTGTAGTGATATATTGTGTACCCTAATAAACTTATCTGGGGATCAGAGGACAGAGTCAGCCACTAGATTAGACACAGAGGCCAGACAGGGGTGGCACACACCCTTAATCCTATCACTCAGAGGGCAGAGATCTGTCTGGATCTCTATGAGTTCAAGGCCACACTAGAAACAGAATCAGGCAGTGGTGGCACAAGCCTTTAATTCCAGTACTGGGAAGCGCAAATGCCTTTAATCCCAGGAGGCAACATGGCTAGGTGGAGAAAGGTATATAAGGCATGAGGAAACAGGAACTAAAGCAGTTCACCTGAGACCCTTTCAGGACTCAGAGGCTTTCAGTCTGAGGATTTGTGGAAACAGGACCAGCTGAGGAGTTGTCGAGGTGGGCCTGGCTGTGGCTTGCTTTGCTTCTCTGATCTTTCAGCTTTCACCCTGATATCTGGCTCTGGGTTTTTTATTAAAAGACCATCGAAGATTCAAACAACAGTAGGGAGCTCCATAGCAAGAATCGCTCTTTGACAGAATCCCTTTGGCACAGAGACAACCAGGAACTAGTACTGTTGCCATGAGCAATACTGGCTTTATGCAAATCAGACAGAGTCCAAGGGGCATCCCACAAGTTTTGCAGAGGGGGTTGTAAGCTCTGTGAACTGTCAATGTAAAAGCATGTTGTCCCATAAAATTTGATGGCAGTGTACTTCCATGGGCACAGTAATGTTCACTCTCAAAGCTGTTATGTTCACCAAAGCCATCACCTTACCCTGCTATTTTCTACATGTAGTTGTTACCAAGATGACGGTGTAGGTGTGGGTTGACACTTTTAATAGAAAATCAGTGTCCTGGATAAATTTCAAGCCTAATTGACATATCTGTCAAAATTTCTGATTCTCTGCAATTTGAACTAATGTAAGGAAATATGTACTTAAAGAAGAAAAAAAAGTCATGGTTAAAGCTTTAAAAGCCCTTGGAGTTCAAATAAGTGATTTTTTTCTTCTATTTAGTCATTCCCTTGGTTGATAGGTCTTAAAACTGTGATGGCAATCAGCACAAGAAGGCAGCTCGATAAAGAAAAGGAAGACATTACAGATCACACAGCCCTGTATCTCCACTGTCAGCAGGTCCTCTGCTGTGGGACTGCATGCTGCAATCTGGGCAGTGTTAAGACCTTCATGTTTCTTGGCTGGCTAGCCTCACCTGCTTTAGATTAGGACAGATGTGTTTAATTTTATTCTAACTCTGTTTTATAGTTCCATCTGCAGTTTATGGCAGACTCCGGCAAATTAAGCTGATGCTGGTTTGCCTTTTGGCAATAGAACGAAGCAATTATTTTTCCCAGG